TTTCTTTCTTTCTTTCTTTCTTTCTTCTTTCTTTCTTTTTTTCTCTGTCTGTTTTGCCTGCGTGCATGTAAGTGCATTACGGGCATGCAGTGCCCACAGAGATGAGAAGAGGTCATCAGATTCCCTGAAACTGGAGTTATGGACAGTTGTTAGCTGCCATGTGGGTGCTGGGATTTGAACCCGGGTCTTCTGCAAGAACAGTCAGTGTTCTTAACTGCTGAGCCATCTCTCCAGCCCCTTATTTTTTATTTTTTATTTTGTGTATGAGTGTAATGGCTGCATGTATACAAATGCACCCATGTCATGCAATGTCCACAGAGGTCAGAAGAGGGCACTGGATCCTCTAGAACTGGAGTTACAGATGGTTCTTAGCTGCCACATGAGTGCTGGGAACCACACCTGGATCCTCTGTAAGAACAGTCAGTGCTCTTAACCAACGAGTCATCTCTCCAGCCCCAATGTTAATTTTTTTTAAAATTCATTAATTTTATTTTGTATGTATGCATGTATTGCCTGCATGTAGGTAAGTGCACCTGTATCGTGCAATGCCTGTGGAAGACAGAAGAGGCTGTCGGATCCCCCTAGAACTGGAGTTATGGACAGTTGTTAGCTGCCATGTGGGTGCTGGGATTCGAACCCGGGTCTTCTGCAAGAACAACCAGTGTTCTTGACCACTGAGCCATCTCTCCAGCCCCCTCAATGTGAATTTTAAAAAAAATAAAAACTCAACTACAGTGAAAACAGAATTTCTTCTCAAGTTTGAAATTGATTATCAAAATTAGAGGGGCTATTTTAGTTATTGGCTTTGGTGGGGTTATTCATAATTCACTACAAAACTAGGAGTATATTTTATAATGGACTTCTACCCTAGGTTTTTGGATACATTTAAAATTATTTATTATTGTGTATGGGGGGGATGTGGGTGTGTGTGTGGGTACTCATGCACATGTGTGTGGAGGGCAGAGGACAACCTCAGGTGCTGTTCCTGAGGCATGTTTCACTTTTTCTTTCAGTTTCTCACTGACCTGGAACTTGCTGAGTAGGCTAAGCTGGCTGACCACTAACCCTGAGGGCTCCATCTTTCTCTGCCTCTCCAACACTGGGATTACAAGTGTGTACCATCACTCTGGCACTTTTACTGAGGGTTTGGGGACTGAACTCAGGTCCGTAAGTACTTTACCAACTGGGCTAGCTCCTCAGCCCTTTTTTTAAAGGCAGAGTCTCCCATATTCTAAGCTAGCCTCAAACTCCGATGTAGCTAAGGACAACCTTGAATTTCTGATCCTCTTGGGATGTGATAACAGGTACGTGCCATAGGGCCATTTTACTTTCAGTACTTTTACATGAAAAAAATAGTTTTTCCTATTAGTTTTTTAAACTCTAAAAAAGTTTGACTCTAAAACACAACTAGTCCTAGGTTTTTTTTTTTTTGGTCTTTTTGAGACAAGGTCTCCCTGTAGCCCTGGCTGTCCTGGAACTCACTATGTAGACCAGGCTGGCCTTGAACTCACAGAGATCCGCCTGCCTCTGCCTCCCAAGTGCTGGGACTACAGGTGTGCGCCACCATGCCTGGCTAGTACTAGGTTTTTAAATAAAGACTTGTATAGCACTACCCTAAACTTTCTTTTGTTTTTGTTTTTTTGAGACAGGGTCTCATTATGAAGCCTTGGCTGGCCTGCAACTCACTGTGTAAACCAAGAACTCATAGAGATCCACTTGCCTCTGCCTCAGTTGGGATTAAAGGCATAGGTTTAAAGAAACTGAACAAAATAAAATTTACATATACTATACAGACCTTTCAGGTCAACGTAGCAGCAGAGTGGAAACAGCTCCATTGTTCAAGACAGACAGCAGCAGAAGAAATACATGCATATGCTTTATGCACCTTTGTCTTTTACTAGAGGGATGGGTGTTAGTAGTCAAAGGGACTTGAAGGGAAAATGTGGAATCCATTATAATGTTACACGGGAGGAGCTGGCTCTCCAGAACTCAGTGTCACAATTATTATTCACTAAGAAAAACCCTGTACTGAGAATTATTTGGACTCACCAGTATCAACCAGTTGGGAATAAAACAAGTTTCATTCTCTAGGCCAAAACCCCCAAGCAGCTGTTGGGAGCAAGAGGGCAACCAGAACAGAAGAAAACAGATTCACTGCATTGTTGTCAAGAATGGGTTTCCCTGATATATGCTTGGCATCCTTGGTTGGGCTGTTGACCACCAGGCCAGTGCTTTCATCCAAACCTGGAATGGAAAAGAAGCAAATGGTGTGGAAGATCCAAGTAAAAAAAGAAAAAGAAAAAGAAAAAGAAAAAAATGAGCATTTTTCTCCAGAGGAGCCAATCTTTGAAAGATTCTCAGTCACTTGTAAAATGACTTCCTATATCATTTATATGGTATGATACATGGAAACTTTGATCATTAAAGGCCTTGTTGCACAGATGGGCTTTAGAATATCTCAATATTGGTCTCTCATCTCTGGAGTTGCTTTAGAAATAGAAGGAAGAACATAAAAAGCAGAAATGGTTGATGGCTTTCCCCTGCTTCCTCTCCAAGACAAACCTGTAAGGCTCCAGAGTCAAGATGAAATCTGGCTTTAGGATTGGACATCAGGGCCCAGTATGGTGTTGCCATAAAGGAGGCCGCTATGGCTCACATGCTGTGCCTCTCCAAAATTAATGCTGTAATCTGAAACTCAGTGTGAAAGCACTGAGAGGCGGGGCATTTGGGGGAGTAGTCGAGCCTAAGGGTTGCACATTCATGAACAGAACTGATGGCCTTATAAAGAGTCTACAAAGAGTTGCTTGGCCTTCTTGCCCTTTTGCACTTTTGCCTTTGCCAACATAAGGTCAGCAACCAAGTGCTACCTTGGAAGCCAACAATGAGCCTGCCACTGGACCCTGCATCTACTGGGTTCCTGATCTTATCTTTCAGAACTATGAAAAAGAAATTTCTGCTGTTTATAATAAACTCTGTACTGAGGGAAATAATTACCAAGAATTCAAATTTTTGATCAAAATGATAATCACAAGAATGCAACTTTCATAGTGCTAATACTATTATGCAATTTCCTCCACTTGGTAAAACTTTTGTTTAGGACAAGGAATTCAAATCTTTTAAGGTGTCCACCTTGTAAAACTTCTGTCTATGAAAAGGCTCTGCTGTGTGCCAGGCCTGGTGGCACACAACTTTAATCCAGCACTTGGGAGACAGAGGCAGGCACATCTCTGTGAGAGCAAAGTCAACCTGGTCCACATAGTGAGTTCCAGGCCACCTGGGGCTATAAGGAGACCCTGTCTCAAAAAGAAAGAGAGAGAGAGAGAGAGAGAGAGAGAGAGAAGAAAGAAGAGAAGGAGAGAGAAAGAGAGAGAGAGGAAAAAAGAGAGAGAGGGAGAGAGAGAGAGAGAGAGAGAGAGAGAGAGAAAGGGCTCTGCTGCATTCCAAGAAGTTGAAGGTCTGGAGCAGCCAGCCCTTCCCACCCTCCTTCATTTCTTCTGCACAGATTCTTTTAAAGCTAGCTATCCACTGTGAGGTTGGGCCCCAGTCAATGGGGTAAAAGACACAGCACTCTTATGTTAGGATAAAACCTACTACATGTCCTCGTGGAATGCTTGCTTGCCAAAGAATGAGGCAACAAATTCTTCTGCAAAAGTAGTAACTGCTTTACTGCAGTGTGTTCTCCGTGAGGTACTAGTGGAGTCCTTAGACCCCAGATTTATTTCTAATAATACTTAATGCATTAAAAAAAATATAGCAGCATAGCCAGGCATGGTGGTGCATGCTTTTAATCCCAGCACTTGGGAAACAGAGGCAGGCAGATATTTGTGAGTTTGAGGCCAGCCTGGTCTACATAGCAAGTTCCAGGTCAGCTGGGGCTACAGGGAGACCCCGTCTCAAAAAGACATTAAAAAAAAAAAAAAAGTAGCAGCATGAACAAAATAAAACAGAGAAAGGCATACTAAGGTTTCCTAAATTAATTTCCCTCCACCCACATATTTTTTCAAATTACTCAATATGATAAGAAACTTCTGTTATGAGCCCTACTTGGGAAAAAAAAACCCTAAGGTCATTAAAAAAACATGTGTGTGTGTGTGTGTGTGTGTGTGTGTGTGTGTTTGTGTGTGTGTAGTCTCTTTAGCATGAAGTAAAATCAGTGATTTGCTCCAAATGTCCTGTTTTCCTAGGATTAGGTGACAACTCAAAATCAAAAGCATCTGTTTCTTGCACTGTAATATCCTTTCCTCTAATCAATGCTCCATAGAACTAATTCTCTTTGAATTAGTTTAACACAAAAGAATAAGAAAGGCAAAATTACAAAGGGCATTTTCCTGTTACTTCTTGTCTCTCAACATTTGTTGTCCTTCGATTTGTTTTCACTGCTACATTTTTAAAGTTTTTCACATCTCTTCCTCATTTCTTAAAACAAAACAAAAATCAATGTTACAGTAAGATACCGTTCTTACCAGTAAACTGCATTGTTGCCCCTAAATATGAGTCCACAACTGATCCTAGTAATCCAGCCAGACCTCCAAATGCAATAATGGGCCACTGGGGAGCAGAAATGTCTAAATCATTCACAAATACCAACTGTGTCAGGAAATAGGTGATGCCCACAAAGGTGCCACCAAGGAGACTGGAGACAAGTCCCACCACTGTAACTCCTCCATTGGTCCCTGATGAGAAATACACATCAAATCATGGGTTTAATCATCAGTAAATGTGTAACACCAAGGAACGGAAACAACAAACAAGAATTGGTATATATCTAATTAAAATTAATTTAAAGAAAAGAGTACATTATAAAAACACACATTATGGTGATCTCTAGTCACCGTACTCTAGGCCATAATACCAGGATTTCTTGCTCTTGTTTACAGAGTCCCCATCGATCAACCTTCCCTCATCTTTCTCTCCTCTCTACTCTCCTAAGCCTCTGGTACCCATCCTTCTGCTCTCAACTTCTAAGACATCAACTATTTTATCAGATTATACACGTGAAATCATGTGGTACTCGCCAGAAAGAGTTCTCTAGGGCTGGGAGTGTAGCTCAGTTGTAAAGCACTTGGCTAGCATGATAGTTAATTTAAATGTCAGCTTGATGCAATTTAATCTCCTGGGAAGTCTCAATGAAGCACTGTCTCAGGCAGCCTGTGGGCATGTCTAGAGTGGATCATCTTGATTACGTCAACTGAGGTGGGAAGACCTACCCACTGTGGGTGGCACAATCCCCTGGGCAGGGGCCCTGGACTGTGCAAGAGTGAAGAAAGCGGCTGAGCATTAGAAGTATGCACTCATTTCCTGCTCTCTGCTCCTGACTGTGGAGGTAACATGACCAGCTGCTTCAAGTGCCTGCCATCCTCTTCCCCACAATGACAAACTGTAACCTGGAATTATGAGCCAAATAAACTTTCTTCCATATGCTGCTTTTGTCAGGGTATTTTATCATAGCAACAGGAAATGAAACTAGATATTAGCATATACAAAATTTGATCTCTAGCATCATAGGAAGAAAGAGAAAAATTCTACTTATAAATAACCTACTAGCATCCTCTTTTCCACATACTTTAAATTATCTCTAGATTATTATCATAATTACTAATACAGTATAAATAGCTATTATACAGTATTGGTTAGAGAATAATCCTAAGGAAAAGTTCTATAAGTGTTCAGTAGAGACTAAAGTATTTTCTTTAGATATGTTTAATCTAGTGTTGGTTGAATTCCCAGATTTGGAGGGCAAACTGTATGTTAGAAACATTAATCACAGGGCTGGAGAGATGGTTCAGCAATTGAGAGCACTGGCTGCTCTTGCTGAGGACCCAAGTTTGATTCCCAGGACCGACGTGGTGGGTAACACCATCCCTTCACATCTCCTGTTCATGATTCAAGGACTTTCTTCTTCCCTTAGAGACAAGAGTTATGCAATTTGGGAGTTTTTTAGATAGACCCACTGAAGGGGTACTCCAATTGCCTCACCCTGCATCCCTGTTCAGCATGAAGAAGCCAGAGCGGTGGGCATCCCTATTCCCTGTTGGCAATTTGGGTAACCCCTTCAGAGGATGGTGTGATAAGAATAGGAGGTAGGAATTGGCTAGGCAGTTAGGGTAAAAAGACCCCAAAGAAATGTAGCCAGGTTCTTGACTAAAAGTCAAAATGTCCTTGGGCCTGGTAGCAACATACTCTGTTCCAAAGGCCAAAAATGTTGAAAGTATTTGGGAGCTTGTATCTAATCCTTAAAAGATTTTAGGGTTACCTCTTCAGAGTGAGAAATGTTGGAGGGGAGGGAGTGGGCATGGATTTGCTCAAAACACCTTATATACATGTATGAAATTCTCAATAAAGTTTTTGCAAAAATCAAAAAAAAAGAAAATTCTCTGGGTGTGGTGGCGCACGCCTTTAATCCCAGCACTCGGGAGGCAGAGGCAGGCGGATCTCTGTGAGCTCAAGGCCAGCCTGGTCTACATAGTGAGTTCCAAGACAGCTGGGGCTATAGGGAGACCCTGTCTCAAAAAGACCCCCCCCAAAAAAGAGAAGACTCACTAACTGGGCTGGGGAGATGGCTCAGTCAGTAAAGTGCTGGTATGCAAGCACTGAGGACCCACATTCAAGTCCTAGCACTCAAGTACAAAAGTTGGGCCTGGGGGCTGGGGAGATGGTTCAGTAGTTTCAAGTACTGGCTGTTCTTCAGAGAACCTGAGTTCAAATCCCAATACCCACATGGTAGCTACTAACAACTGTCTGTAACTCCAGTTCCAGAGGATCTCATGCCCTTTTCTGCTCTGGTCTCTGGGGGCATTACACACATGTGCACTTACATACATGCAGGAAAACACTTATACATATAAAATAAAAACAAACTGAAACAAACAAACAAAACAAAACTGGGCATAGTAAGGTATGTTTGTAATCCCAGCACTGGGGAGGCAGAGACAGGCAGATCCCTTTGACTAGCCAACCAGCCAGTCTGGCCTTGGAGAGCTCTAGGCCAATCAGAGATCCAGTCTCAAAAAACAAGGTGGGTGGTGTGCTGAGGAAGGACACCCAAGGCTGACTTTCGGCCTCCACATGTATACAAACACATGTGCATGTCCCATAGAAGCACACACACTCACCAACTGGAACCTTCTCCCAGGTTGTAATTAGCCGAGGTGGGCTTTTGCTCAGAACTGTGCCAACTTCGGAAGCCCAGGTATCTCCAGCAGAGGAGGCCAGTGCAGCCAAGAGAGACAAACACATCCAGGAAGCAGTGTGCTGTTTGGAAAAATCGATGGGCATTTCCCCGGGGCCATTTTCTATCATGTAGAGCAGAGCCAGCTCTGTGGGCACAGCTCCATTACAGAATACCTGGATCCAGTTCCTTTGCCCTCCTAGACACAGGTACGCAGATGAAAAAGAAAGAAAAATTGTGCAGTTACAGGAACATATGTCTTTAAGCTTCAGAAAAGTAACTTTAAAAAAAAACTAAAAGATAAATAGAGGTCGGAGATATGCTCAGTAGTTAATAGCACTTACTGCTCTTCCAGAGGACTGGAGTTCAATTCCCAGCACCCCCACATGAGGTGGCTCACAATAGGCCTCTGTAGGCACTCCCACTCATGTGAACATACACAGACACACATATAATTAGTTTTAACAAAACTTTAAAAAAAAAAGACTGAAAAAGGCAAGGCATCTTTGCCCACGTTGCATACAGTTATTAATAAACCTAGAATAATCAACGGCAGACTTAGCACTAAAATTATTCTGTTATTTCTTATAGTAGAAAATAAATAATTATGCTACTAAAGTAATTCTCAAATAAAATTCTTCTGTTTTGACAGTCTAAACAGATTCTGAACAAAGCTTACGTTAGGGTGAAACAGTTCCTTATTTCTGGGTAATGTGAGACGTAATTAATTTTACCTTCCTTGTATTCTGAATCTAGACGCTTCTTCATTTCTCCCTTCCATTTAGTGAGTTTTGAAGATGAAAGGAAAAACATCAGCAAAGAGGTAAAAAAACTGAAATTTGCAATGGTTAAGATAAATCCAACCACTAGCCCTGAAAGAAACACACATAAGCACAGAATTATACTTAATCCATATATTAATGATTTGAAAACTTGGATTTTTTTCAGTTTCAAATTATAATCTGAAATACATTTCACATCTTCATTAAACCAGTGAAGTTACCATCAAGTGGTAAATGGAATGTCATTTAACATTTTTTTCTTGTTTTAATTATTTTTATTTTATGTGTATGAGTGTTTTGCTTCTATGTAAGTATACCCATGTTGTCTAATGCCCACACAGGCCAGAAGAGGGCATCCTCTAGAACTGGAGTAACTGACAGGTGCTAGCTGCCATGTGGGTGCTGGGAACTGAACCTGGGTCCCTGCAAGAGCAGCAAGTGCTCTTAACTGCTGAGCCATTTCTCCAGCCCCCTGATTTTTCAAAAATATTTTATTTATTATTTTTATTTTTATGTGTAATAAGTGTATTTCCTGGGGTCAGAAGAAGGCATTGGATTCCCCTGGAACTGGAGTTACAGATGGTTGTTAGCCACCATGTGTGTGCTGGGAATAGAACCAGGTCTTCTGCAAAAGTAGCCACTGATTTTAATTGCTGAGCCATCTCTTCAGCCCCCTAAATTTTAACTGGAAATTTTTCTTTTTTCTTTGTGAGACAGGGTATCCCTGGAGCCCCAGCTGGCCTGTAACTCACTATGTAGATCAGGCTATCTCTTGAACTCAGAGATAGCCTCTTGCCTCTGCCTCCCAAGTGCTGGGATTAAAGACGCGCACCACTATACCCGGCCCTTAACTGACAATTCTTAACCTTATTTTGATTTCCTTTCAAACAATACTGTAAGATAATTTTAGGTAAACTTTTTATAATCATGTTGCAGAACAGAATGATTTAATGATTTTAAAATGATGTGAAAATGAAAATGGAGTATGCCCTATGGCTGTGGTTTTAGTTTTAGATTTTGCTGTCTCTTTAGACTTGTTCAGACAAGCAAAGAAGGGGCAGTTCTTCCTTTTTCAAATGGTGACCAATTTCAAGGAAGGTGTATAAAACCTGCAGTTAATCAGATAAAGAAGGAAGATTATAACTAAGGACACAGAAAAGGGCAAAAACAGCAAAGGGATACACTTGAGTATCAGAGCAATATGGAAGGAGCTACTGAAATCAACTTCAACATTAGTTGAAGGAGCACCAGGCTTAAAAAACTTGCTGTGGACTGCATAAAGAAGTGGGTATAGTGCTGGGGTGGTAGCTCAGTGGTAGAGTACTTGGCTAGCATGCATGGCACAAGGCCATGGCTTTGAGCCCAGGGCAAGGCAAGTGTGAAGCCCTCTCCAGGTCATTCCATAGAAGGAGGGCACGCAAATCCTGGAAGGGCCTTTTAAAATCATCTAGATAACACTTAAAAGTATTTTGCTTATTGAATTTGAAAATGTTCTGGTGAATAAAAAAAACTTGGTGGTAGAACCTACAAAATACCTTCATATGTATCACATGGTTAATCAATCCTACAAAAAGGAGACTCAGAATATAGTGAGTAAAATAAGACATCTATAAAATTACAACAAAAAGAGAAAAATCAAAAGAGATAAGTATTTGAATACTGACAATAAAGAAAAGTTAATCAAAGTGACCACAGGAAGTCACATCAGGATGTGACTGCTCTCAGAACATTTTAAATTTAAACAAATGCCTTTAATCCCAGTAGGCAGAGCTCTGTGAGTTCAGACCAGCCTAGTCTACACAGCAAGTTCTAGGTCAGCTAAAGCTACAGAGTTAGGCCCTGTCTCAAAAAAACAATCAAGGGCTGAAGAGATGGCTCGGCAGTTAGGAGCACTGGCTGCTCCTGCAGAGGACCTGGGTTCGAATCCCAGAACCCATGTGGTGGCTAACAATCATCTATAACTCCAGTTTCAGGGCATCCGACACCCTCTTCTGACCTCCGTGGACACTGTATGACACAGGTACACTTACATGCAGGCAATAAACTCATACACATAAAATATTAAAAAAATATAAAACAGTCCAAAGAAAAGACAAAACTCTCAAGTGAAACAAAATAAATTCAAATGAGTTGCACCACATGCTATCTGAAGAACGTGCTGAGAATGTGAAGATTTTTCCTTTCTTTTTAGACAGGGTCTTACTATGTAGCCCTGGCTGGCCTGGAACTTACTATGTAGACTATCCTTGCCTCAAACTTAAACTCAGAGGTCCACTTGCTTCTGTCTCCCAAGAGCTGGGATTAAAGGTATGCCCCATGCGCAGCCTAGGACAGTGTCATGTGCCATAGTCCTTGCTATCCAAGAGACTGAAGCAAGAGAATGTCTGGAATCCAGGAATTTGAGACCAGTCTGTGCAAAATAGGATCTCTTCTAATGAAACTAAACAACCAATCAACTAACAAGTAAGCAAAAGACTCACCCAGGATGTCCCTCATCTTGAGCTGCTTGATGTTTGAGGATGATTTGACTGAGATTATGCATTCCTGGCCCATATGCAATATGGGTGATGTGGTGTCCTCAGAGTACTGTATGTGTCCATCTTCTCCTCATTGGTGGTATTATTAATATTACTAATTTTGTTGTGTTGGGGAGGTTAGCAGACTTGTTGAGCTCCACCCAAGGGAGGGAACCCTTGACCTATAGATTTACATTAATCTTTCCTAGACTTTGTACTCACCAAAGCAGCCTTCTCATGATAATCTGAACTCTCATATGGACTAACTCCAAGAACAGGGTGTGCCTGAACAGTGATGTGTTACATTCTAGTCCACCTGGTAGTTCTACATTTTATCTGGTTAATAAAGTAGCAATCGATCCCCATGACAAAAGACAGCACTCAGCTTCTTTTCTTGGCTCTCATCAATTTAAAATTGAGGTTTTAACTTTAGAAAGACCGAACACCAGACCACTGAGACCACACCTGTGAGGCCAGTGAAGTGTTACCTCTGGCTTTCCTGGTAACACCTCACCTTGCTGTGCTCTTCTCCTCTGCTCACAGCATCTCCTGCTAGTCGGCCCTGATGGGATCAACCCTATCTTATTTATCATCTATCTTATTCATCATCTATCTCCCTTAATTCCTACATACTAAAGATGGATTAAAAAAATTAAGAGTTTGAATGTTTTTCAATGAAAAAGAGAATTATCATGATTCTGAAGAACTCTAACCAATAATAACTGATAACGCCTAATAAACATTGGCTGTGTCTATAAAGTGAAGAATTCTTTGGTAATCTTTCTATTTAATTCTCACAGTGATTCTGTAGGGATTGATCCCATTATAATTGGGAAGATTTTTTTTTTTTAAAGCATGGTCTCATATAAGCCACACTGGCCTCAAACTTGAGCTATGCAGCCAAGAATGATCTCACACTCTCCTGAGCCTCTTGCCTCCACCTCCTGAGTGCTGGTGCCTATAAATGCAGCAGTGCTGGGTTTTATAGGCATGTGCCAGCATGTTCCACTGGAGGGCTTTCTTTTAAGGTAAAAAGAATCCAGGGCCCAGGATATAACACAGTTGGCAGAGTGCTTGCCTAGCATGCCCAAAGCGATGGATTTGATTCTCAGCACCACATAAACTAGGTATGGTGGCATACACTAGCAATCCCAGCACTCATGTGGAAGCAAGAGGATCAGAATTCAAAGTTCAAGATCATCTTAAACTAGTTACTAAGTGAGGCCCTGTCTCAAAAAAAGATAGAATCTTTTACTGTCAAGTGTGGTGGCTTAAGCATGTAATCATAGTATCTGAGAGGCTGAGGTACTTGCCAAGGGTTCAAGGTCAGCTCAGACTGCAGAGTGAAACCCAATCTCAACAAAATAAAACCAAAAGCTTTTACCTTTACAAAATTTACAAAACTATGAGGCAGGAGAGATGGCTCAGTGATTAAGCACACTGGCTACTCTTGCAGAGGGCCTGGGTTCAGTCCCTGGCACCCACATGACAGCTAACAACCATCTGTAACTCCAGCTCCAGGGGAATCCAACGCCCTCTTCTGACCTCTGTGGGCACTGCACAACATGGGTGCACTTACATACATGCAGGTAATACACTCATAAACATAAACTAAAGACAATAAATAAAATATTTTAAAAAATTAACAAAACTATAGGAGCACAATGGCACACTGTCAGAGCTCTTCCCAAGAAGCTCCCAGAAGGTACCTCTGCAAGCTAGGCTGCCTGATGTCTAAATTCCAATCACTTTATGGTATGTTCTTCACTAACTTAGAAAACCCTGTTATCTCTGACCTGAAAACAGAGGCAGAGAGCTATAATCATTCAAATGAACCTGACCTGATTAGTGCTTGTTCGTTTAATAATCACACTATCTTGCCCTTATGAAGGGCTACTCTAGTTTATAAAAATTTACTGTCAGTTACTTCCATATAAACACAGAGATTAAAGTGCACTGACGATGAAACAGGGGCCAAAGACCAGCAGCATTTTTAATGTTGGGAAGATGACTTCAAGACTGTTACTTCTAAGCATCCTATAGGAAGAATTTAGCAGGAATCCTCATGCCTTCTGCTCTGAATACTGGTGGAATCTAAAAGTTCTTATGTCAAAGTAGATCATACTACTCTTTTGATCTGAGGGTAAGAAATCCCATCTGCTTTGAGATAAAATCCTTACTGGCACATACTAGCCTCAACTGACCTGGCTAGGTCTAAACTAGTTCTTCAACTTTCTCTCTTACTTCTTTCCTTTTCTTACTTCCCCTTCCCTTACTGAGCTCTCTTCTCACTCTTGAACAAGTTCGATCTGTATATGTTAGGGCTCAGGCTGGAAATGCTTCTTAGCCTTTCTCACTGTTTGTGTCTTCGGGTCTTAGGTCTAAATTACCTTCTTAGAGGAAAGCATAGGCTATATTTAGAGAAGAATGCCCTGTGTCTTCTGACATACACATTTTTACTATATTTTCATTTTCTCATAAGCATCACCATTATCTGAAGTTTTTGTAGATTTTATTTACTTATCATCTAGGAGACTGAAGGAGGATTGCAACTTTGAGGCCAGCTTAAACTATACAGTGAGACCCCACTTCAAAAACAAGCATCTCCCTGTAGCCCCAGTTGGCCTAGAACTCGCTATATAGACCAGGCTGTGTTTGATCCCACAAAGATCCACCTGCCTCTGCCTCTCCAGTGCTAGGATTAAAGGCATGGGACACCACGCCTGGCAAAACAAAATAAAAATATAAAAAGTAAAGTAAAATAAACGATCCATGAGAACTGAAACCTTATTTTTGGTTACAACTATATTTCCTGCTTCTAGAACAGTAGCACATAGTAGTAAGTGCTCAAAAAAATTTGCTAGAAGAATGAAGTAAAAGCCTGTGCCTAACTCAATTCTAAAAAGTACTCTAGGGGATGGAGAGTTGGTTCAGTGGTCAAGAACAGTGGCTGCTCTTCCAAAGGATCTAGGTTTGGTTCCCAGCACCCATATGGTGGCTAATAACTATCCTTAACTACAGTTCCAAGGGATCTGATGCCCTCTTCTGACCTCTGTGGGCACTGCATGACAGGGGTGCATTATATACATACATGTATGTAAAATATTTTCCCATGGAAAATATTTATGTTTAAATTTGAATACTGTCAGAGGAAAAGGAATCTTCCTGGGACAGGGCAACTATACTATGTTCAAGTGTTGAAAACCATATATAGCTAGACATGAATATTTGGAAATAAAACTTAAAACATAAAATAAAAAATAAAAGTAAAATATTTTTAAAAATTAAAAAAAAGTATCTTAGAATAATAAATTTAAACTGCTCTGAGATTACTACTAGCAAGTTTCCAGAGTTATTTTTCCAATTGGTCTCCTGTTTTACACCTAGGAGGGATGTTCTAGTTATTTCGCTAGTAGCAAACCAATCCAATTACAGGAGAACAGTCAAGGTCCACAGAAGGCTATTCTGTTAATCTATTCATATCAATTACAAAGTTAATGTGTATGTAACTCTAAAAACTACTCTTCCTGAAATTTGGACAGAATAGGAACACTGCACAACATGTAACTGTATTATTGATTAAGATGTATAATGTTAAAACTTAGTCATATACAGAATTCAGAAAACATGAGCTTAAATTATATAAGCAAATACTATATAATTATTTTAATCAAAATTAAACATTTAAAAACTCAAAATTAAAATGAAAACATACCTCCTAAAGCTCCGCTGTGGTCTAGACTTTTCTTTTTAAAGCCATTGCAGGTGATCACAACAGGAACAACAACAGAAAACAACCAACGCCAAGGAGAAATGGGCCGTAAATTACCTAACAGTTACAAACATGGAGAACAAACAGTGGAAAGTCTGTACAAGTTAGTCTTAACATTAAGCTTTAATTAAGTGCATTCTGGATTAATACTATCAGAAGTGGAGAAACTGAGAAGAAGTCACCCATGGAAAATATATTTAAATTTGAATACTGTCAGAGGAACAGGAATCTTCCTGGGACAGGGCCACTGTACTATGTTCAAGTGTTGAAAACCATTTATAGCTAGACATGAATATTTGGAAAAGAGAAATAAATCTTTGGTTCCTTAATTTTTTAAAAGGTTGCCTAATTAACTTTCAGACAAACTCTGATCAGGATTTAATTATCTCTTTCAGTGAAATTAGTTTCACTTAATAACATTCTGACAGGCAACAAATCAAATTCAACAGTTAGAAATTAATTTTTCTAAAGGTTATACCCAGTTTAACAGCTGTTTGGTTTGACTAGCACTGTCTCTTTAAATAATCTGAGTAAATATTTAAAGATTAGGACATTTCATATAAAAATTCTGACTCTTCACTTCTGCGTAAGCTGGCTGCTTGGCCCGCACGGCAGCATTAACTGAAGGTGAAAAGAAGCCATCCCTTTCAAACAGGCTATAGCTTTCCCACTTAAAGTTTCCACCATTCCTGACAGGTTCTTAGATACTAAGGCCAAGTGATTTATTTATCCTAAGGAAAACCATGAACTATTGCTTATAGTCATGTTTCCAGCAAAAATGGGAAAATAGCTGGGCATACTGTTACAGGCCTGTAAGCCCAGCACTCAGGAGGTAGAAGTGGATCACCATAAATTCAAGGCCAGTCTGTTCTTTCTACACAGTGAGCTCCAGGCCAACCAGGGCTATATCAGTGAAAGCCTATCTCAAAAAACAAAAACATCAAAAGCCAGAAAATGGGAAAGAAAGTAAGACTAAGGCCAAGAGATCAAAAAGAGGAAAAATCTTGGGCTGGAGAGATGGCTTAGCGGTTGAGAGCACTGGCTGCTCTCGCTAGAGGACCCAGGTTCCCAGCACCAACATGGTGGCTAACATCCATTCAAACCTCCAGTTCCATGGGATCTGACACCCTCTGGCAAACTAAATTCAGGCTGCGGACGTATGTAATCCTTCTTAACCATACAGAGGATGTTAAGTTTGGATTTTATAATGGTACTTTTAAATTCCACCCACTAGAGTCTCTATAAACAATTTAGAATATTTTTACTTACCATAATAGGTGCTAGCAGTCATTGACATAATCCAGAAAGCTAGGGAAATGCAAATGATCAAGCTCAGTATTACTATGTTAGTAATCATCTTTATATATTTTTTGCATGTATTGTCGTCAAGATCTGTCATGGAAAATAAAGCTATGAGCACCTGAGGGAGAAAACAGCATTTCAGATAATCAAAGTCATTTAGGTTTCCGGCAACAATACTTTTTTAGAGGTAAACAGAATTGTCAACATCTTCCACCGACCTAACAACAAAATATGTAAATCCAAACTTCTAGAAACCGCTGCTAGTGCGGCGCTCCGACTCGTCTGGGCGAAGTTAACGCATCTCTGGAAAATGAAGTGGCAACCCAAGGCGCGCGAAGGCCAGCCGGACGCTGGTGGGCTCACACCTAGACCGGACCAGGAAGGTGCAAGGGAAAGCTCGCCGCCAATCGGCGACCCGTACAGACGAGCTCCGCCCCCAAGGGGGGGCGCAGCCCTCGCCACACGGATCACAGCAGCTCCGGACGGGAGCCCGCCGGGAGGAGCGCGTTTAGGTCCCCAGCGCGCCGCCTCGGGATCCGAGTCGAGCGAGCCAGGGCCGAGACCCCTGCAGCTCCGCCCAAGCCTCACCTTGCCGCCGCCTCACGACTGCTTACTGTGCGCATGCGCAGCAGCACCGCCTCGCTCACGTGAGCACTTAAAGCGGAAGCCGCCGCAGAGTCTAACGGATCTCTGAGTCCTGTCTGCAGTCCCTCGGAAATAGTTTGTGCACCGTCAGTTGTTGAGACTGCAGAACATCTTGTCACTGACAGTCCGAGTCTTCGGGCTGATTTCATCTTTTCTTTGAAATTAACTTTTATCTTAGTTAATAGTAGCTAGCTGATAATTACATTATTTCTTTTGATTAATTACTATGAGAGAGGCGACAGGACCGTTTCAAGTGTAGAACACAGGAGTGTGACGGTAACCCACTGATGCTTTTTTTTTGAGACAGGGTCTCCCTGTAGCCCCAGCTGACCTGGAACTCACTATGTAGACCAGGCTGGCCTTGAACTCACAGAGATACGCCTGCCTCTACCTCCCAAGTGCTGGGATTAAAGGCGTGCGCTACCACACCCGGACACCCACTGATACTTTTTAAAGCTCACATTTCCACTGCTAGTAGGTATTTTAAAAAATCCATGCTATTACAAATTTCTAAATAAACTTTGCCTTTCCTTTGGTAGCACATCTAACTAGGAACTAGTTAACTAAGATTTTTTAAGACTAAATAGTGGTTTCTACAGAAATTCATTATACATCCATCCTTGTATGTCTGTTCTGCATATGTAAATAACTGTATTACCTCACCATACTACCTGACCACTATCAGTATTGCCAGATCATTGGGTACAAATTATTAATAAGAGGTAATTTTTTTTTGTTTGTTCTGGTCTGTGTGTCTTCCTTATAACCCCCGTTGGCCTGGAACTCATGATACAGACCAGGCTGCCCTGGATCTTACAAGTTTCTGTCACCCAACTGCTAGGACTAAAGGTGTGCATCACCACACTTGGCCTAAAAGGTAATTTTTCTTTTTTTTTCCCTTTGGTCTTATTTATTTAATCACACCAATTAATTAATTTAATTAATTGGTCTTTCTGAGACAGGGTCTCTCTGAAACTCCTTATGTAAACCTTGAACTCACAGAGATCTGCCTGCCCCTGCCCCTGCCTCTCCCAGGATTAAAGGTGTGCACCTCCACACCGGACATGGTTCATTTGTTTGCATAGTGACCTGGTTTTTTTTTGTTGTTTTTTCTCCTTTTTTTTCTTTCCTCAGGAAAGTTATGAACTGGATTTGTTTTGTTGTCTTCATCATAGTTACAGTGACTTGTCTGATCAGTTAGTGTTCTGTAAGAAAACCATGGCTTCACTGGCACTAGTGGTGAAATGTTAATCCCAGTACTTGGGAGGCAGAGATAGGCAGATCTCTGAGTTCAAGGCCAGCCAGGGATACAGAGTGAGACCCTGTCTCAGAAACAAAACAACCAAGCTGACGAGATGGCTCCGTGGTTAAGAGCACTGGCTGGGTTTGATTCCCAGCACCCATATTGCAGCTAACGACTATAACTCCAGTTCCAGGGGATCCAACACTCTTTTCTGACCTCTGTAGGCACTGCATGACACAGGTACACGTACATGCATGCAGGCATGGGATGGGGAGGGATATGTTTCCATCACTGACTCACACCAGGGAGACAATGACTCCTATCCCAAGCATTCCAGCTACCCCTATAAGGTGCAATATGCAAGAACTTAACTTTACAGATGAGTGCGGAGAAACTCAATGCCTATGAATAGATTGTTGAGCAAATGGGAGGCCTGAGAGCAAAGAGCTATGTATGCAGACAGAAATCTTGGCATTGTGTGAAGCTGACTGCCGGCCTATGTTGACCTGCCCCCCCCCTTTTTTTTTTAAATATCAGGAGACCCTATTCTACTGTCTCCCTTTTGTGCTCAAGCCCAAGTTCCAGTAAATGAGCTGTACTTTGCCTTTTTGTGATGTCTGTGTAAAATTCCTTCCAAGAAATGTTTATCTTCTAGAAATAACAGGCATGACAGTTAATTTCCTTGGGAAAAAATTTAATATTAACAAATTTCAAATACATTTGTGTGAATACAATGTTACTGTTTAATATACATTATAAATCCTTAACTTTATAAAGTATTCAACTGTCTGAATATCAAAAGAATCCCACTCCTGGTATAAAGATTTCTACATTACATCAAAATTAAAATTTACCCGTATTCTAACACTGAGAAATGAGATAACACTGTAAAATCTACCAAGACATCATCAAAATGAT